GATAACCTGATTCTGAAAACTGTGGTTATTCTTTGATTTTCAGAGTATGGCCATGTAAAGTGAGTTGAAGGACTCCTATGTGCTGAAAGAGGCACCCAAGTCTCTGTTTGTTTTAAAGCAAAATTATTTACCCGGCTTACTGGACAGATTTTGCCTAGGTCTCCCAGATTCAAATATTTGGGCCAGAATCTAAGATAAAAATATAACCTTTTTTTGTTCTCAAAGCCCTGGGCTCTACAGCAGGAAATTCTGTAAACTGAGACGGTTTTTCCCTATTTGGGAGAGATCAGGATTTGATTCAACAGCACCTTTCCCAGATCAGTATTAATGACGTGCATGCTGTCTCCAGCATCAGCCTAGGACATTGGAGTAATTGCATCTCTGGAGCTGGTGTAAGCATTGCATTCACCCCCTTGGAAGGGCTAATATTACAGTGGAACATCCCAATAGAACGGCAGCACTTCAGAAGAAGGCAGTACCTTCAGACTGGATTATAGGTCCAAGGGGGATTCATAGAACAAGACATTGCTTTTTGATTTTTAGACATTGCAACACTTAAGTGGTAGTGCTTGTGGGTACAATTTGGGTCTGGTCCTCAATCTCTTTGCCTCAGAGAGATAATGACAATAGAGATGATGATCCTGCCACACTTGATGGATATGGGAGGGGTTTTTGAGGGCTACAATGACTTCCTCAGTGGGAAGAAGAGCACATGAGCAGAAAGACAGGGACCCACTTATTTTTTCAACACGTACATTCCTACTGCTGGTTCTCAATGTACTTTATGTTGTAGACTAGCAGGAAGCACTTGTTGGATGATGCATATGCTAATGATGCATGACTCGTTTTCCAAATGTGCTGTTATTTCTGCCATTTAACTTGTGCATTTACATGTTTTCAGCCAGTCAAGCTATATAAAGCAAGCAGTTTGTCATATTTGCATAAAGAGTAATTTGTTCAATTTCTGGCTTATCTAGAGCCATTAAGTGAATGTAAAATATGTCCAATACTTAAGAAAAGAATCTTTCTCATACTATGCAAGTAAAACATCCTAAGACCAACATTGTCTTACTTCTACATTTTTAGCTTTTGCTGAACTACTCTAGAGAATTAAATCCATACAACTGGAGCAGAGAGACAGTTCTTTGCAGGGTGTGCTCTTCTGGAAACCACCCAAAAGCTAGTAACAATCTGTTTCAAGGTCATGGCACATTTTGCAAGTTGCACAGGAAATGAATAATTGTATTGCCTCTCGGGGATGAACGTTTTGTAGAACATTGCCACAATGTGAATCCACTTCTGTTTCGTTAAAATATTCAATAGCAGAAAGCATCTTGCCCTATAACTAAGAAATATTCAGGGTGAAAACACATAAGTGGTGTGCATCTCCATTACCCATAGCATTCTCCTCAAAGTGGGGTTTTTTTGTAGCATTTGCTGTGGAAAGGACTGGAGCCGGTTTTTGTCCATACAGATTCTTAAAATGAGGGGCTAACTTCTCTGGTCTGCTGCCCTGGTGCACAGCACAAAATGAACGAGCTGAGTGACCACTGGAGACTTCCTCTTGCAAGAGAAATTCCTCCGGGACATAAAGCTGACAGAAGTAGTGTATCTTCCTACTATGCCAGCAACAACTCCCCTCAACAGTGGTGTAGGGGTCATGTCAGGGAAAGGAAGGCCCTGCCATGAGCCTAAAATAGTGGCATTTAACATTTTGAGACTCGAGGCATCCCTGCATAACTTGTGAATTGAGTGGTACACTAAAGTATATAGTCTTTAACTTCCATATGTGCTGGGCAGTAGGGGTGGGGGATTGTCCAGACAGGGAGAAGCCTGAGCAGGGCTTATCTGCTTGTCTCCTCATACCTAATTTATCTCCTTATATCTTGTGGCACCCTTCAAAGGCACTGTGGTTGAGAATCACTGGCCTAAAATAACAAGGCACAGTGGAGCAAAACTTCTTGATGTCTAAACTCCACAGGTGAAGGGATCTTGCAGTAGAACAGCTACTCAGACTCTAATCCAGTATCAAGTAACCTCAACCAGTTCCCTGACAGAAGCCTCTTCCCTTGTACTGAACAAAGTTTAATCACAGAGAAATTATCTTGGCTCTTTTTTAGGGCTGTGCAAAGCTTCGGATCATGATTTGGATTCATACATGATTCGGAGGCTGAATCTATGAATTTGAATCAAATTGCTGGAAGCTTTTGGCTTTCCGAATCGATTTGGAGCTTCTGAATCAATTCGGAAAAGATCTGGAAAAGATTCGGCAATTCGGAGATTTGGCCACAGGTTATGATGGGGAATCAATGAAATAGCTATAATTTTGTTGTCTTTTGGCTACTTCAGATGAAACTTACAGGGATGGTAAGTTTCTGGTAAGATGGTAAGTTTCTCTCAAGCTGAGAGCATGACATGTACCAAGTTTTAAGGTGATAGGTGCAGGGGTTTCTGGGAAATTGCACCTCTAAGTCCTGAAAGCAAAACTCATGTCACATGTGTGTGTTAAGACACAGCAGGGTGAAAACTGCAGGGATGGCAGCTCTTGCTGAGGCCACAAAGCCTGCCAAGTTTCAAGGAGATAGGTGTAGGGGTTTGGGGGAAACTGCACCTCAAGCAGCAGACAAGCAACATTCATGACATGGGTGACACTGTGTGTGTGTTAAGGCGCAGCAGGGTGAAAACTGCAGGCCTGCTAGCCCCTGCTGAGGCCATGAAGCTGCCAGCTATCAAGGAGATAGGTTCAGGGGCTTCTGGGTTCTGGGTCCCTGCACCTCTAGCTGCTGACAGGCAAAACTCGTGACATGGGTGCTTGTCTAAGCGCAACTGTGTCTGTCTCGGGGCAGGGGGTGGAGGGAACTACTTTAGGCCTGGCTGCTCGGCCCTGCTGCGGCCACAAAGCCTGCCAGCTGTTAAGGAGATAGGTTCAGGGTCCCCGTACCCCTAGCTGCTGACAGGCAGAACTCCTGACGTGAGTGTTTGTGCAGCTGACTGTCTCTGTCTTGGGGCAGAAGCAGTTCCTGGGTTTTGTGTTGATTCTTTCCTCTCCTTAGTGTGTGGTTTTGTAGGTGTTAATCCTTGCTCATTAACTCATTATCCTCACTAGCTACTGTGTATTGAGCTGGTCCCTGAGTGAATCATGATTGATTGGTAACACAGAAGCTTAGCAGCCAGGCCTGCAGTAGTTTCTCCTCCCCCGCCCCAATGCCCCAAGACAGACAAAGTTGCACAAGCACCCATCACACAGGTTTTGTCTGTCAGCAGCTAGAGGTGCAGGGCCCCAGAACCCAGAAGCCCCTGCACCGATCTCTTTGACATCTGGCAGACTTTGTGGCTGGAGCAGGGGCGAGCAGGGTGCAGCCTTACACCCGCGGTGGCTGCAGCAGGGGCTAGCAGGTTGCAGCTTTCACCCTGCTGTGCCTTAACATGCACAGTGTCACCCATGTCATGAGTTTTGCTTGTCCGCAGTTTGAGGTGCAGTTTCCCCAAACCCCTGCACCTATCTCCTTGAAACTTGTCAGGCTGTGTGGCCTCAGCAAGAGCTACCATCCCTGCAGCTTTCACCCCACTGTGGCTTAACACACACATGTGACATGAGTTTTGCTTTCTGGGTTTTGAGATGCAATTTCCCAGAAACGCCTGCACCTATCACCTTGAAATTTGGCACATGTCATGCTCTCAGAAGAGGCTACCATCTCTGCAAATGTCATCTGAATCAGCCAAAAGCCAAAGTTACAGATATTTCATTTATTCCCCATTATACGCTATGTCCAAATCTCTGAATCAGCTCCTAATTGACTCCGAATCTTCCAAAGCGATTTGGCCGAATCAAATTGGAAAAACGATTTGGATCTCTGAATTGAGTCTCTGCTATCTGAATTGGTTGAATCCAAATCCGAATTCAATAGTTCCCTGTTCTCACAGGCCTACTCTTTTTGTGTCAAAGCATAGTTCATCTGATGGTCTTCTTGGGTAACTTCTTCACCATGTAATACGGTGTTATTTTTCCCTTCACAATTTTGCTCCTTTTGCTCCGATAGGCTCCGGATTAGCTTTTAAGAACTTCCAGACAAGCACCCAGTTTTAATTCATGTTTGCTGCCATTTCTGATGTTGGATTTAGAACAGTGGCCCACTGCAGCCTTGCAATGTGAAATGAAGCCACTACTACTAGCCATGAAGGAGGCTGGATTCTGTTTTGCCAATTAGCTACATTTCAGTATTTAAAAAATATTAACAAGCAGTCACAAATTACTGGAAACAGGCTAGAAATTTTTGCTTTTCTAACCAAAGGGGTCTCCCTCTCTTCCTTTAGGAAAACCCTGCAATGGAAAACATGTAAAATCTCTTCTGGTACAGCGATATAATGAGTGGATATATAACTCTGTTGGTTATGATTTCAAAAGTTTCCCTAATCTGGACTGGATAAGCAGTTTATACATTCTGTGAAGTTCTACAATATTGCAAGACTTGCTGGAAACCATAGTGTCAAAAAATAAATAACAAACACAAATTCATGCTTCAGTTTAAATATTTAGTATTTGTTTGATTTTTTTTTTTAAGTGCTATTAATTTCTGCTTCCTTTCTAACTAGGGATTTATACAGAGACCATTTAAACAACTGAAGCGAGACTGAGTTAAATGCAAACAAGAAAGAAAATTGTTGTGATCAAATTCTCTGCTACCTCAGCAGGCAGCAATTGATACCAACCATTAATCACATTATCTTGGTATAAAATATTATAGATGTCAAAAGATTAAGCATAAAGTATTTGTAGACTCATAAAAAAGTCTAGCTATTAGTGATTTGTGTTTCCACCAGACAATGGTGAATTGTCTGTGCTTTGACTCATTTTGAGTGAAGAACCCCTCTATGGTAATAAGTTCCTTAACCCTGTTTCCATTGAAGTGAGGGGCAAAATTCCCATGGAAGTAATTGGAAAAAGAGTGGTTCTCAAAATGTTGCTGCTTCATTTGATGTGCTGCTCTCCTTTGTTCCAGAAGACAGCAAGTTGAGCAACTAGAAGTGGATCCTAACAAATACTCATTCCCTGATGTAGCAAACATAGTCCAAGAAAAGGAGCGAACTGGACAAGGTCCCATTAGGCTTCAACAACAAAAGGCAATAGAGCCTGAGAAGAGTTTTACTGACTCAGTGGACGGCGAAGATGTTCCTCCCTTAATTTGAAATGTAATGAGAGGTTTTCACAATCTGTAACCTGCATTGCCTCTGAGTTAGCCTCAGCAGCTTTCTTGACTCACACAATAGAGGATCTACGTATATAATAACCTTATTGTCTACTGAAATTAAAAAATATTAGTTATTGCTATCAGCTGTTTTTGTTATACTTTTGCTGTACACTTCTGCCTCTTTCAATTAGAAGATTAATACATACCTTCTCTTTTTCTAAATTGTCTGCTTGTGTCATGACAGGGTTCCAAAGGCCTCTTCAAAACTGGGATATCTCACTGTGGTTGGCAGGATATAAACCAATAGGAAGATTGACTCACTACCCCAAAGACCTCACAGTCTAATTAAAGAGATAACAAATGAGTATGGCAACAGCAATTAATTATCCTATTACCTAGGATGAACCACACAGGGCTGAAGTCCCCAGGCATTTTCCAGTGCTTACCTTCTTAGGAAGGCAGCAGCAAAGAAAGCTCTTGTGTTGGGTGTGATGCACTTGCACTGATGTTCCTATACTCTGGGACTGAGAAGGGGCCGATGGGGCTAGCCCATCCTTCCTGCAACAGTAAATCTACCAACACAACAAACAGCTTTCAGATTGTACATCCAGCAATATCATCAGCAGTGTGCATGAGGAGTGCAAAGGTGCCAGTCCTTAGTGATGCTGTGGGGAGGGGAAGATCACAGCTGGATAATACACCCCAGAAGACTTGCCACTTCAGAACAGCTGGGCTAAGTCAGCTAGATCTTTCCAGTGCCCTGGGTGCTGGTCTCTTTTGTCTTTCCTGGGCTTCCAGCAACTGCAGGATTCATTGAAATTGTCAGTGTCTAATTTGCAGCTCCTCTTATATGTAGGGGTGAAGACAATTTGGGGCAGCAGAGCTTGGAGCTAGAGGGACTTGTTCCTACCCTGCCCTTCCACTGTTCTAAGAACTGCAGGAGACTCCTGATTCGCTTTATTCCCAAACCCCTGGATTGCACCCAGTAAGTTGGAATGGGCTTCTTCAAAGAGTAATGTATTCACTATACTGTATCATAGTGAAACCAGCTACTGTAACTTGACACAGCAAATTTGTGAATGCCTCTTTCGCTTTTTAGTTTAGGCTGGGGCAGGCAAAATGCGGCCTGCGGGCCGGATGTGGCCTGCCAAGCCATTCTATCTGATCTGCGAGGCCCCTAAAAAATTTAGAAAATTAATATTTATCTTCCCCTGGCTGCCTGTCATGTGGCCCTCGATGGCTTGCCAAACCTCAGTAAGCGGCCTGCCTCCTGAAATAATTGCCCACCCCTGGTTTAGGCATTTAACATACATTCTTGTAGTAAATGCAGTTCTCATTTTTTTTATTTGCAGGTCACCTCTACTTTTAAAGCCAAAAAAAATGGATAAATTGAGGTGTTAAAAGAAGCTATATAATCTTGTCAGTAAGTGTCTCATAAAATGGAGATTGTCATTCTAAGGGAAACCCTAATGAATTTGTTCCAAAAAAGTGGAACTTGCTTGCTTCTGCATGAAAGCAGTGCAGAAATGGATGAAAAATGTCTTTTGCTTTTAACACTGTGAGATACTCTTAGCAAATTTAAAAAACTCAGGAAAAAAAACCCCAGGGTTATTTTGTTGTTTGGGAGGGGAGTTGGTTTGATTTAGATTGGGTTGGATTTTTTTTTCTTCTTAATTTACATGTTGTTCTCCTCTTTAAGACCAAAAATGAATGAGTGAGGTGCATTCATACCCGAACAATCAAAGAGATTTTTGAAGTGATAAATACTTTTCATTTATATAGCAGACCAGGGTTACGTGGCTGCCCGGATATCTCCAAGAAATTCACTTGGATGGCTGACCCTGTAGTTTGCAAGCAAAGTTTTGCTTTGAACTTTTGAATGCACTGCATGTCTTTACCCGAAGTGACATTAACTGAAAATTTTGCATTTGGCTTTCCTATTAGGAGGAAAGAAATGATCTGTTTTCGTGGTTAATGATGACAAAGGGCTAGATTCTATTCTCAGCTATTAGGCTGCAGCTTTCCTTTAGGTCAATTTCTGTCTCTAGAAGCACAATGGTATCTCCTACTGCAATCAACAGGAACTTTTCAGTCAAGCAAAATTTGGACCAGAATTGTACGATAAATACCTCACCTTTGGAGTAACTAAATTACTAGTTTAAACCACATTCATTCATTTCAGTTAATCTCACTTTTGTTAGATGGTTGTAATGCTATTTGATCACACATGCTTGGAAATCAAACTATCACAATTTACATTTATGACACAAATGGAAATGTTCTTAGCATGTCATCTAAATATGATTTTGTTATTCCATTTCTGACATAGAGTCCAGGCATTGGATATGTATCCTTTCACAGAAGTTAAGAGTTTCATATTTCATTATATATTTTCACCTTCATTACATCATGTTTTGTTACATCTGCATCACATCTGAATCTTATTCTCACAGATTCAAACTAAAAGCCATCTTTCTTTCTACAGTTTGTACAAAATGTATAACTAATACAGCTATCAAAATAAATTAATTTAAAATGCTATTAGGAACTCAGTGATTTTTGAGATTCTGGGCGTGTCTACATGTGTGCATTTAATATGCATTAGCCCAAATTAAGGCACATCAAGGGCATGTGTCTACAAGTGTGCACCCTTAATGCAGCTTAAAAATGGTGATTTTAGGCTATTCAAGCCTAAATTTGATACCTGCATAAAGCAGGTATAAATTTAGGTGCAAATAGCTAAGTCTCATTAGCAAATGTTTAGATACACTAATGCACATTAACGCAGTGTGTATCCATTGATTTGGGACTCATTTTAGTCTCAAGTTGGTCTGCACACCCACATTAACACGCCTTAGTGTGTGTACATGTAGATGCTTACCTAAATTGCCTTAATGCGCATTTGGCTAATGCTCATTAAGTTTAGGCATGCGTAAAAGAACGTGTAGACATGCCCTCTATTGCATTCAGAAAACACCATGATGCAGTCAACATCAAAAGAGAGAACTCTATAGAGAATTCAGGAACAAATCCACACATTAATATGCTAATGCTTGTCAGGGTAACAATATTTGGATCTTGGGGAGCACTGGATTTGCAGCTGAATAAAAGGCCTGTGGCCTAGCAAAAGCTGCTAACTACAAGGCACAATGATATCTAAGCCATCCATTTGCTTATGCTAAGTAACCATCTTAACTGTGTTAACCATTTTCAAGTGAGTCTGTGTGAATCTGTATGCTGTAAATGAGGTGAAGCTTTAGGAATGTGGAAGATGGTACAACAAGGGACAGAAAAACAGACTGGAATGTGAAAAACAAAACACATAATTGGTAAGAGAATCTGAGATGAACATGTGCAAAAAGGTGAATGGTGATTGGTGAAGAAGCTTCCAGGTTTTGGTCAAAGTCCGCCCATTGACCAAAGAAGTAAAGTTAAGGTCTTGGACACGCGCTCATAGCAAAAAGACATGTAAATGAACGAAATGTATAGGCAATTCCATGTTAATGAAGTAAACAGTAAACAGAGGCGGAGCTTAAGATAGGAGGAGAAATGGGTGGAACAAAAGGAAGAGTGAGGGTGGAGTGAATGTTAATAAGCATGAACCAAAGTGTATAAAAGTGGAAATAACTATTGTTCGTTGTTGCTCCCTCTGTTCACAGGCTGTGTGTCTGTGAGGGAGCTCGCCCAAAGCTGTCTCCATTCTGAATAAAGCTGTTGCGAGCAATGTGTGCAAGTAGTGTTTGCTCCCTGCTTGCTCTGGCTAATGAGTAACAGGATCCATGAGCAATTAGATCGTCATCTTCCTAGTCGTTGGGCGCCGCATGGCGTCAGGGTCTAACAATGGTTTCCCATACAGCTTCTCTTTTTTAGCCTCTGTGCACTGACTTGATTTTTCCAATCTTACCTTGGATTAATCTGGGATAAAAACCTCCTAGCCCTAACATCTCTTGAGCCAACTTTGTTCTGCTGACTGAAAGTGCAAAAATAGTTTATTAAATGAAAAGATACCAATATGCTAGATAGTAGTATTACAGTGCTGATGTAGCTGCAGTGGTCCAGGGAATACGTGAAAAGCAGGATTTGTTTAGCCATATCTTTTATTGAACCAGCTACATGGTTGGAAGATGTGTTACTCAAGCGTTTTGGCAGAAAATGCCCTTTCTCAAGGCAGTATTGTCTCTGCACATTCAGAATAATAGCCGCTGACTTTACTAACTAAAAAAAGATTGTACTATGTTATACTCCTATTGAGACTACAGGACAGATTACAGGTCTAGGGAGAAACCTGGGTTCTTCTCTGGCTTATACAGCAAAACAAAACTGTCAACTAAGTTTGTATTGCAAAATGTTTTGTGGATGTGTGAGCTGGGAAGAACATAATTTGTTTCTCGTACCTTAAGTTGTTTTCCTGATGGGCAGGGAGGTAAGAAATCTCACTTTACTTTTAAACTGATTGGATTTGGCCTGGAATTCAGTGCATGAGGAGTGTGGAAGGTGTGTGCTATTTTTATGAATACTATGTGTATCTGACTGTATTCATAACGCTTGCCATATGGGACATTGAAGATTTGCCCACGTTATGGAGCTGGTGCTGCTATAGCTAGGTGGGTGTGGCTATGTCAGCAGAGCCCCCTTGTGGAGACATGGCACATGTCCCTTGAAGGGCTTTTTCTGCTGGAATAACTATCTCCTCAAAGGAAATTAGCTCAGGCAGCAAAAGCTCTCTTCTGGTACCATAGTTGTGTCTAGATCTGTGTTTTTTCCATTAGAGCCTCAGGTGTGATTGGCTAGGGGTGCCACCTTTCCACCCTGAGCCCTCACACAGTGATTGACAGCATCCTTCTCTATCTGCATGTCCAGGTGGCATAGAGTGGGCAGATTAAAGGTCAGATTGTGTCTATGGTAAGAGTGCTGACCCACACCAGAGTGGAACATGATAGCAGAAGTAGCGTGCAGCCTGTCTGAAGAGATGGGGAGGTAACTGTTAAGCTCACTGTCCCATTTAGGTCTAATGAGATGTATGTAGATGGTGTGAATTAGTATGCTGGGTATTGTCTCTGTCCCATGGAGCTTGAGTCTGAGCAGCAAGCTGAAGGAGCGTTCATTGACCCTTCAGTATACAGAATGTGGATAACAATAATAATGATCTCCAGGCCTGTAGGAAATGTAGATGGTTGGAGGGGGAGGGAGATGTGACTGCTGTTCTCTAAAATAGGATATATTCTTTGGCTCTAGAATTTGCCATAGAATCTGCTGTCCACTCCTGAACTGTGAAAGAAAAGTGTCCAGTTTACTCCCCGAAGCCATGTTCTCCTGAGCCAGAAGTACAACCAGAATTTTTTTTTTACACCTTTTCAAAGTAAAGCTGCATTTTAAGTGTATCTTTTCCTACAATCTCCTTGTACAGCACATGCTAAAGTATCAAAAGGCATCCTACCAAGCTTTGTGTAGTCATAGACACTCCCTCTGCCACTGCCTCACTGAGTATATTTTAGGATGCAAGCAGTCTGCTCACCTGCTGTTTGTTTCTGATGAGGATTCCCGCAGGGGTAAGCCTACAAGAAGCAAACAGAGTTCTCCTTGGTTAATGAATTGTAAGAGGAAGCCCTAAGGTAACCTGAGCATTCTCATGGTGAGAGCCCTGTGAAAGACCAACTGTTAGCTGTCAGCCTCTGCTGTGTTTGAAGCTGAAATCCCACTTCTATATTCCTGGTTACTGAAAAACACTTCCTAATGCTGGTTTCAAAGTGCATCATTTTGCATCAGGTAGTGATGCTAAGTTTTGGACAGACCCTTCAGAGGGCTTTTTTGTTTGTTTTTCAATGTAAGAGTTTCGTACTTGGGGGTAACTTCTCAGCCACCCCTCTCCTTCACTTTGGATCACCTCTCTTAATGCTCATCTGCCATGCCTTAACGTTCAAAATGTAAATTAAAAAAAGGGAAGTGAGATTTTCCAGTTACCCTTAGTGATCTGGATGAAAGTGAGGGTTGTCTTCACAGGGCTCTGCCTTCCCTTCACCCTTCCCTTACCACACCTATGCAGGCATAGGCCCAGGTTCTCCCCTGGCTTTGCCCTTTCGATAAGTATGATGTGGCAACTGATTACAGGAGATCCTTGCCATTCACGGGGGATAGGTTCCAGAGATCCCGGCAAATGACAAAATCCG